AACATAGGATATTTATTTATTAAGTACAGAGTTCTCTATTAAGTTCGCATTGTGCCCGAAGGGAAGCAATCATTCCATTCGAATGACAAGTTCTCGTCTTCCAGATTCCAAATAGGTACTTTGAAAAGAATTAAACCCAGTCTTTATTTTCCCGTTTCTCCTCACATTCAAAGCTTCCTTATACAGGCATTCTAATAACAATACGCTTGCAAACATCTCGTAACATTGGCTGATCTTCATTACGTTTTTGCTAGCATTGAAATAGTACACTTTCGTTCTTATAAACGTTGAATTGGACAGGTGTGGACAGGCTAGATTTCTGCTCAATTGGTTCTTATAAATTGTAAACACTACTGAACAGATCCCTGCAAGGAAAAGCTGGGGGCAGCACTAGTATGGAGAACACGCAAAAAAACCAGGCTCTGAGCACTATCATTCCTTCTCTGTTATCAAGTTATTATGCGTATACCGTGTACTTACCCTCAAACCCCTTAAAGTTATGCGATCCTGCATGCAACGGTCTTGCAGTAATTTTCACGCATGATGTAATATGAAAAGTGTTTACATAGGATATCAAATTAAGGTGCCGAAAAATGGAAGCTTTAAGCGTATTAATTGCTATAGCTTTGATTCATTGTTCACTCTTCTTCTTCGATACAATTTTTAAGGTAGGATATGCCGAAAGAAATTAGGCACAGTTTTGGACATAAATGTACAATCATAGAAATAGATTTATACATGTATATGAATTACAAATGTTATTTATTTCACAGACATGCTCGCATTATCCGTATATTTATTTTTTGAAAAATACCGGCTTAGAGGTGAAGGCGTTCAGAATAAAGTGGTTTACCACGGCATTCAATCGTAAAATAATTAAATGGGGAATGGATCGTTCGAAATTTTGGACCGCCTGGTTCAATGCAGGAGTCGTTGTCAGTGTCATTCTGCTGCCTTTGGCAACAATCGCAGTTTTAAGAATGACATTCAATATATGGACCAGTGGGCCATCTTTTGATAATGCTAATTCTGAACCACTGTTGGAACCTATGGTAAATTGCATTTCTTTGGGAATTCGTTAACAATTTCATTATTAAAAATATGATAAATTTCCATTACATAACGGGATTAGTCAGAAAATATGTTCTCTTATTTTTTTTTTTACAGATACCTGGGATAGACATGTCCTTTAATGAAATTGGATATTATATCATTACATTAGCAGTTTGTAGTATCATGCACGAGTTAGGGCATGCATTAGCTGCAGCAAGAGAAGATGTTCAGTTATTTGGACTGGGAATATTAATTGCTTTTACAATACCTATAGCTTATGTAAACATGAGTAGTGAACAACTTACTTCGTTGCCATTAAAGAATCAATTGAGAGTCATTTGTGCAGGAATTTGGCATAACATAGTACTTGCTACAATAGCTGCAGCTATCCTAATATTTTCCACATGGTTGTTGGCACCATTTTACGCAGTTGGAAATGGAATTTACGTAAAAACAATCTTATCTGTAAGTTTTGTGAATATCAAGTTAAAAATAACGAGTTTACTAAAATTTACGTTTATAGAATTCACCTGTATTAGGTCCGACTGGACTTTTGGAACAGGATCTGATATATGAAATAAATAACTGCCCCGTGAAAAGCACCGAGGATTGGTATGATTGTATACTAAACGCGATTAATCGTCCAGCCCTTGGATATTGTGTTAAACAATCGTTTATACAGGTAACGACGCATTAATCAAATAAAAGAACTGAATCTAAAATTTATACATTTCCGACACGATCAATTTAGGAATACGACGAGTCAGTTCCAGCTAGACAAAAGACCAATGGTGTCATAAACTGTTGTACACCTGACAGTGAAGCTGCTGGAAGTTTATGTTTCGAATATATCGAGGGTCCACAAGCAGCCCCTTTGCATTTACCACCACATTCCTGCCTTCCAGCCAGAGCTATGATTAACCAGTCACAGAACTTTTGTTATACTAGTCACGAATGTCTGTTTCACGATACTCATTGTTTGAAACCTTCTCTGGACAATGTTACCAAGGTACGAAAAAACGATGACTTAAAGATTTATCAAGAACTAACAGTATTCATGATATACTAAAAATGTCTACTTATTTTACAGATTGTACAAATAAAACGGAAAGTGGGAAAAGATGTTTTATTTTTCGGTCATCCTGCAGATATTTACCGAACAGTCGACGTGTCTGATTGGGTTCCCAAATATTCGTTTCTAAATCCGAAAATTCCAGAAGCTTTGACACTTCTTTGCAAATACCTTACAACATTTTCTGCAGGATTGGCAGTCATTAACATTGTGCCTTGTTTCTTTTTAGATGGACAATATATCATAAATATACTTATGCTTTATTTATTAAATTTCACGTCACACAATAAAAATATTAGACAGACAGTTATATTAACGATAACAAGCATAGGTACATTACTTCTTTGTATAAACTTACTGTATTTACTTATGAATAAATTATTATAAATAGTAAAAGGATATTGTTAATATTTCAAATATCTATTCATAATATAAACAGCGATAAACTGTGGTGAATCAAGTTTCGACACTCGATTACGACTTTAATGTCATTTTGCATCACTTAAATATCTAATTATACTTTGCAGTCTCATTTGAAGAATTATTTACATCTTTGGAACAACAAATTGGACCACATGGAAAGATTATATTATACAATATATTTCTGTTTTTTAAAAGTAAACGTCTAATAGATGTCCTACAATGTGTAAAATCTAATCATTCCCACATACCATATAAAAATAAAGCTAACGCTAGTTCTGATATGGTAAAAAATTAAGTAATATTTGTGATTTTACTTTCAACATAGCGTGAAGATTAAAATTGTACAATAAACTTCAACTATTACTAAAAAAGTGAATGGAGATTGTTAAGTATACTTAGTTTGCCTCCTATCGTCAATTTATCTGTAGTGCAATTTTTTTTATAATTAATATTTATCTTTTTAAGAGATTATAAAATAGTTACAAAATAATATGATGTTATCGCTTTGCTGCGGTATCTGCATCCAGTGCTGTAATAATACAAAAATCATTAACATATTGTTCTCTTTAAATTAGTTTGCATCCATGGCTGCAAAAATATAAGAGGTGTTAACATAGCATTCTTCCCAAAAAGCATAGATCTTACAATTTCATCGTTACTCACTTTTTCCATCACAAGCAACAATTTTTACTTTATCTACTATTGCGACTTCTTGAACCTCACGGAACTCAACATTATTTAACATAAAAGTCCATACATTGTCACAAAATCTATAAGTATTTAATTTGCCAGCCTAAAAATATCAAGCAGTTGGATAATTATAATAGTATTCATTACACACTGATATTACATGTCAACATTAATCACCTTAAATGTAAGTCTTGATTTAACTCTGGTTGCCAGAGCCTGATTTATTGCCTTATCAAACTGCAATAGCACTTTAATTGCTAATTGTGGTGTGATTTGTCCATACTACAATATATTAAATGTGTAATGTACAACAGCTGTTAGAAACATATCAATCAGGTTTTTCCTTTGCTCAACGAAATAAATATAAAGGAATTTTTGCACTGGGTTATATTAAATTCCTATAATAGGGCCGATAAATCTTAACCTTACGGTTACATATTGGTTAAATGCATACCTGAATCAATTCATCGAGACTTTCTTGTAGCGTATTACCTAGCGTCGTGTTTCGATACAATTGATAAGACATTGTCCTTAATTGTATAACAAGCAAAAGATTAAGACAGATCGATGATTATTAATGCGAAAGTAACCTTCATACGTAAGGAAGACGATTCACAGTATTTGTTGATTACTTTCTGTACGGCGATATGCGACGATGACGTCATGAAACGACATCTGTACTATTCTGTACTAGGAACAGGAAGTCTTATCAGAGATTTCCTCTTTCTGGCAATAACAAAGGTAATATTACGCTTCGACATCCTTATCAAATAAATCTAGAATAATACATCATATTTTATAAAAGAAATTTATTTTTAAATATGTTATAACGATAATAACGCAAAAAAAGGGATACAGGTAGGTCCCACCGAGATTTGAACTCGGATCGCTGGATTCAGAGTCCAGAGTGCTTGGTTCGAACGTCTTTATGAAGATTCTAATTGATGAATTAGTTAAATAAGTTTGGACACTTGGCAATTTTCACAACTGTAATTCATTCTAAATAACGATAATTACAAATTAATTACAAATAATATACAGCACAATCTGATTTTTACATTATGCGTTCAGATGGTATTAGTATTTTAGCGAAATTGGACGAAATACATTATCGAAATGACGCATAATTTCTTTTGACATTAGTACATGATTATTCTACAATATAAATATTTTGATGCGTGGATGTTATAATAAATACCTTATACCTACTCGTTTTTAATCATTAATTCCACTTTCAATGCGTAAGGAAATAATTCGTACTAGAATTGTACACTCATTACACCTTCATTTATGAATTACTTGTGGCACATGATTCGTTTATATCGCTCTTCAGCTTGCATATTGACCTATGATCACCATACGCGGAAAGTATGGAGCATTCATTTTCACGAGGTCAGTCTTCGGATATAACGCGACTACGTCTATGTAATAATTTAGCAGCGTTCATTACTTTTGCTAGAAGAGACTGACAATACATTAAAGTAAGGAATTATCTTGAGTATTCATAGGCATAGTATTCTGATATCGCTGCGCCGGTGGTTGATAAATTGGTTGTGTACTTCGCTGTTGACTACGTTTCTTATTGTAATTACTCTTATTTCCCGAAATAACTCCGTTACCACTTCTTCGAAATTCCATACCTGCTACAGAAACTATTTTAAGTAGGCAGGCACATTTATGCGCTTCACGTGATTAAAAAGGTTCTGTAAATTTACCAGTAAAAGTACCAGTGTGATTTTGAGTTTGGTCATATCGCATTTGTCTACTGTTGAATCGTTGATCTGGATGTTTTTGATCCGTAACAAAATCTTGAAGAACTGCAGTCTGCCATTAAAAGGAAATAACATTGACATTTATTACTTATGCATAATATATAATACGTAGAAGATCAGTTACATACGTCGTCTGTTATAGGTAAACAATCAATTTGAAGTACTTCTTCATAGTTTTCGAATCCTTTAAATTGAACAACGCATGTTCTGTCCGACACTCCAGTTACTATCGCGTTATAATACTAGATTATTAAAACATTATATCCGATTAGATGATATTAAAATTGAACATGTTTACGGGTACGACTGGTTCAACTCACCCTATTATCTTCCCAGTATTTTGCTAAACACTTGTCACCTACTCGCCAAACCCAAGTACCACCGACAGAAATATTCGAATTTTGATTGCCACTGCACTGACTTCTTTGGCTGTTGAGCCCTATAGCTCCTTTACCACCATAATTCTCATTCGGTTGAAATCTGTTCATTTGGTTTTTATAATTTTTATCAGTTGTATTTGCAGGATAAGCTCTATGCGGTCCATCTTCTTGTGCTCGATTATGCCTACCGTAAGACGCATCGTAAGGCTGTCTATTCCTGGCATCTGTTTCGTGATTATTATAATTTCTGCCTGCATTTAAATTTTTTCCTTGATCTTGCGGAGCTTTGTAATAATTACTGGTATTCATAATACTTGCTCCGTCCACACGTGCTTGTAAATTGGAATTTCGAGAATCGTTCAATTGAGATTTTTGATAAGACTTATTCAGATGATCTTGTTGAGGGTAATTGTAATTATCTTGATTTCGTTGAAACCTTGGTGGTTTATTTTGTTGAGAATGATTGCCTCCATTATATTGTGAATATTGAGAGGTAGTATTATTGAAGTTTGGCTTTTTGTTACTTTTGTTCTCTTCCGAGTGTCTCGGGGGTACCTGATAGACGCGACTTCCTTTTTGAGACCTAAATCAGACGAATATATGTGTTAATGATTGATGACACATACTGTTTTGAAAATCGTACCTGCCAGTTTTTCCAGTTTGTAGCTCGTTATTTTTGGATTCAATCCTATCATACGTAGATTCTGTATTTTGAGAGTAACTATTCTGAGGTGGATTGCTCGCTTCCGCAGACTCGGATTGTAATGGTAATTTGTCCTCGAGAAAATCAAACAGGGATATTTTTCCGCTACTTGGTTTATTACTACTTATTTTACTCTCTTCAGTTTTTTTATCGAATCGTTTATTTCGTGGTTCGCGCGGTTCTCGTGCTTCCTTCAAAGCACTGAAATTATTAAAATAGTAAACAAATCGCACAAATTTAGAGCACAAAGTAAAAGAAAGTTGATATACTTGTGTTTATTATCTGCTTTCTGTAAACTTTTCAAAGCTTTGTCAACATTATTTCGACTAACTTTTAAGGCATATTCTGCTTGCTCTATAGAGAAGCCTTGATCTACGATTTTCTGTACACTGTAGTCTAAAAGCTGTAAAATAATCACGTAGTAATTATTATAATACTGAAAATTATTCTAAAGTCAAACAATGCGAGAAGAGAAACATGCCTGTTTATTTCCACCACCGAAAACTTTTTTGTTGCCTTGCTTAGCAGCTTCGGCTATAGCATCCTTACGTTGAGCTTCGAATTCTGCATTTTCTTTAGAAGCCTTATCTTTCTCTGCTAAGGCTTTGAAATTCTTATCCTGTTCAGAGACTTTTATAATTTTTTTTCCAAAAGGAATCCATGGTGGTGGACCACCTTCCTCTGCAGACCTCACTCTTGTGTGTAAAGCTAATTTCTGTTATAGAATACAATCCTTAGTTTTATGTATAATACATTGATATACGAATCAAATAGTATGACATACTTTGTTCAGTTCCCATTTCTCCACTAGGTTTACCACCTTTCCCCCAAGTAACTGTGCTATGCCAGATGGCTTTAATAGAATAATTCCATGGGACATTGGTACATCTCCAGAAGCAATCAATAATTTTGTACCAGGCGGTGTATTTAAACTGTAATAGACTTAAGCTGAAGATAAATTCTTATATACTTCATAAAGTCACTATCCAATATCTTTGATCTTTACCTCAAAAATGAAATGTGTTCAACTTCGATAGCTTGAAAATTATTTTTGCCATCTGTTAGGAAGAACTTTAACAAGCGTGGTGTTGACCGCGATTCTTCGCTACTTTTAGGTGCAGCCACGTTGCGTATTTTTTGTATTTGCAATACGATATTACCCTGATTTATATCCCCCAGACCACTCCCAATCTCCTTCAAATCAATCTTCAAAATAAATAAGAATCTTTAAGATATGTAAACAATAATTCCTTCCATAAGAAAGTTACATAATAAATTATTCTTACGTCCAACAATCGTTTAATAATTTTTTGTACATCACTGATATTTCCAAAATCGCTGGCAACATCATATCCATGATCTGTAATGTACCTATATCATAAAACACTTATGAAACATTTATACATCTGAACTCGAAACAGATTGTACTAATTTATCCAAAGAAAGGCTATTTTTACAAGTGACACGTATGTCTCTCGTACTCACCATCCCTTGTCTTGCAACTTTTCCATAATTTGCACCGTCATTTCGTTCTCTTACCAGGTTCTTGTACAGAACCGCAATTTTGATCCGGCAAAATTTCTCAGCTGAAATTTCAGCGCACGTTACATGCGTGCCCTCGACTCGTACATAAACATGTGTCAGCTGTCGTATAAATCGTCTGGAGACCGATGGTTAAAGCGTTAACAATTCTAGAATCGGAATCTAATGTTTCTATAATTATCCAAGATCGTTTATTATACGACACGATGCCACTTTGCTTGTTCGAATACCGAGTAAACGGAACCGCGCCTATTAAACCTCGTATTCTCGGCCACCATCTTGAACATTCAGTGGACACTGTGATTTCAAGATCGATATATCGGTACTGTGCGACAATACGACAGTATCGATACATCGCCTTTTATTCAAACGCAACGCTGCTACATACATCTAAATACTTACCTTTTCTCCTAAAAGAAATTCGTTTCTTTAAAATTTTACACATTTCATTATGTTAATGTTCTTACAATTAAAAAATTTCATATTCCATATACTATTAGTTATTACACCGAGGAGAGATCATTAAAGGAGTATCCCCACTATACGATACCGTTCAGAGAGTTGTCGAATCCAACAGCTCGAAAACGAGCGAAATCACTTTTCAAAAAGGGTGTGACAGTGGTACTTCAGTACATAGTGTAAACAATCTGTTGACCTCGTGTCATTTGCCAAGGATGTAGACGAGAATGGTGGAATAAGAGAAAAATATGGTTCATAGAACCAATGAGAAGCGAGGACGATACTCCAAACCGTATCTTCTTTATACACATAATTTATTGGTTCCCAAAAGCTAAAACATTATTTAGGATCTCTATTATAACGTTTCATTCTTTTCATTTTCCAACTATTTTTTTTTTTTAATTGCTACGTTCAGCTAAGAGTTATAAGTAATAATTTGTTTAGAAAAGAACTTCGAAACAGATACTGATGTATAATCATGTTGAAATCTAACGCGGAATAGATTACATAACGATATCTGGTAACGAAGCAATTAGATCTACTCTCTGAGTGGAACTGTACACGGATTTTTACAATCGTGCACAGATTTCACGAGAAATCGCGCTAACGAGCATGAATAAGTAAACAGTAAACACGTTAATTAAATGTACTCTATCGTTACCTGAAAATTACCAGCATGTAAAATGGGTCACACATACATTTCGCATGTCAGGTGTCTAATTATAAAATTAAAAATCAAATTTTGTCGAACTATGAATTTCCCGAGTATTTAAAATTCCACTTACAGCATTTCCTACTTGTCTACAATCTTACCGAAACATTGCTTACAACTAATAGTAAATTAAGACATACGTGTATAAATTAGCAACTGAAGATTTCATAAATTCGATACGACACTTATCCAGGTCTATATTATACTTAAGGAGCCTATCCAATATAACCGCCCGAAATTTAGGTAATTTTTGGAAATTCTTTTTAAGAGAAGTATTCCATGGAATGTTTTTAGACTTTATGGATGTATTTGCCTATGATTGAAGTGTATGAATTTATTTCTTAGTACAAAAATAACGAAAGGCGACCGAGTTATACTCTTTCTCCCGAGAAGCCAAAAAGATAAGTGCCTCCACTGCTGCAATGATACAGGTCGCTACGATGCCTGAAAAAAAAGAAAAATATCCTGTTAAACTAGAAGGTTTTGTCTGTCGAATGAACTAGAATATCCAAGAAATGTTAGAATTTGGCAAAATAGGGGTTTTTACGAAATTTTTCGATTTTTCCTTAAAAAATGGTCGTTTGTTTGTTGCCAAAATTACAATTTTTATCTAATCAAGAATATCCTAGTTTACTTTACAATAAAGCATGTCCAAAACATTGTGTTAAAATTCTAAGTCAATCAGACAATTGGACTTTGAGTTAGAACTGCAGCTTTGAAAAACACTGTTTCGAGAAAAACGCGTTTAAAGTATTAACTATTACATTATTACTTATATTATATTAATACTATTAGAAGACTCGAAAACTAGTTGAGATCCAACCTTGAGATTTTAGTATATTTTTAAAGGTATAAATTTTCGAAAAATGCAAAAAAAATAATTTCACACTGGGTAAGTCCCTTAAATTAATTAGGACTAACTAACTTTGTAACAGGCTTATAGTGACGAAGAATATAAGAAAGACATAAACTGTTGATCGGTCCAATTTGAGTTGATGATTATTACTCGGGCGGAGTCCCGTTTGAACAAACGATGAAATTGGATCGGATAGGAACTAACTTCGGAGATGACGGAGGCATACGAGCACGATTAAGAACAAGACCCACCCACATTACCAATGCAAAAGTAATTATGCAAGAATTGGATATATCTAATAATAAAAATATAATTCGCACGATTTGCGCGTTGTACCTGTAAGAGAAAATAAAATTGGTTACTTGTCGAACGAAAATAAACTGTTCCGGTACACTTCTATTTTCGTCGTTCCGACCATTATTGAAATCCATCCAGACGCTTCGAAAACGGCGAAGGCTGCATTTTCTAAAAGGAAAGCGTAGCCTTGAAATTCTCCGTTCGTAAATTTTATGGGTGAAATTAGACTTGCATTACTGGGTCAATCCTAACAAGTAAAAAATAATTACGAAGCCGAAGGCGCGTCAGACTGTACACGAAACACCAATGGACTTTCCACGAAATGAAACTATCATTCGTAATTATTCCAATGCGTCATGTACATTATTACTCAAGAGTCTAAACACGTTATCTCCATGTAGGTAAAGACCTATGGAACTTGCTGACAAGGGGGAAACAATTGTCATTACGTAGTACTACGTATAGAGGTAAACATTTATTGCCATCCTCGACGGATTAACGAAATCTCATACGCAACAACTTTGTTCCATCGGATAGATCGGTTCGCTAATTACAACTGATAATTGCAGGAATTTAAACGAAAACAATTGAACGTCGTGCGATTGCGTGATGTGTCTGTCTCGTCCATCCTTCGGTCACGTCAAGTTACAAAAAGGACAGCGATTCCCATTGATTGACAAAGTATACACGAGATGCACGCAGACTACGTACCCAAACAAGTTATACGTCGATGCTTCGTCCATAGTTAAATACATACCTATTGAATCGCTAATTTATAAGTAAGATTTGCTACGAGGATAGGAATAGGGCGGTGGTATATTCTATCTGGCATGCGGAACGACGCAAAAATACCAGATGAATCTCGTTGCATAGGTGTGTGTCACACGCAACGGCCAAAGACGTGTACCACTTTCGGTAGCTCTACCCCTCTTTCAGTCGATTCATCGTACAATGAGTACGAACGCGCAACGTGGTGCGTCTGTAGAGACTGAAGATTTCGCATAATACGGGTGGTAGTAGTAGATGCATATATACGACAGGGACACGACATGCAGCTAAAGTAAAAGATGACTACTCGTGGTGGAAAAGGGAGATTGGAGTAACGAAGACGATGAGGAACGACACGGAGGGAGGAAGACGGTAAGAGAGAGGTGATCAAGAAGTGGGTGAAACGGAGAGGGAAATAATATAAGGAAAGAGAGAGGGAAATAATCAGGGGGACTGAACAACACGGTAAACGAGAGAAACAGAGGGGGAGAAAGCGAGAGAGACGAGGAGAGAAAAAGAGAGAGAAGCCGCAGTCGGTTTTACCATTTCAGTTTCACTCAGACCCGGCCTGAAATCGCGCGTGTCCACGCCGATACTCGAGCTGCAGTTTCGTGCCTGAATTAAAAGCGACAATTTTCTTGGCTAACCGGACGAAATCGTGCCGCTAAGTGATTCTCGCACCCATCCGCTAACGAAGTAACAATTTTCTAACAGTGCTACAACACTGCGCAGAACGGTGTTGCTGTTTCACAGGCGAGAGAATTTGTTTATCTTTCACTTGCTACCGACACCGGCGACGACGATCGAGAAGGTGACAGACGGAAGACGACGTAAGTAGATGACATTTTTCGATCAGTTCTGCCACCTATTGTTCGATAACGATCGAACAGATCATCCGAATTCGTACCGCTATGGAATTCAGATTAAACCTGATGCTGTCAGTCGATTCACGATCGTGAATAGCCGTGCTCCGTTTTACACGCGACGAAGCTTTATCGAATATTCAACCACGGTGTCCCACTGATTGCACGCTGCTGAATTAAGGTGTCACAAATCGCAGGCTCAGCTTTTTTCGCGGACAAGAAGCATACTATGGAAATCCAACGTGAATGAGGCCCCGCGGGATCAGGCGAGTTCAATTATGACCGATCTGATCTCCGCACGACGATAATGCACGGATTAAGTCACGCCCACGAACTCCGTAATGTTACGTTGGTTCGTGGTCAGCCAGACATGTTGCAAGTGTTGCGATCGTTTGAGTTACATTTACATTTCGCAATGCCGCGGGAATCTGGATTTGAAACAGCGATCGCGGAGCACGCCAGACACAAACGCACGACGTATACTTTTACGAACTTTTAGGCGTAAAGGAAACTTCATTCACGTGTATTCATTCCTGTTAGATCACAGAACATTCTCATCTTCTCTATTGTGATAATTTAAAGCGTGAAGAATAAACATGGTTGGCGAAATGAGGAACAGGGTTTGTTAAAAGCTCTGTCCTAAATTGCGTATCGCGACAACCAGGAGGAATTTTCCAGCATGCATATTGTTACGACGCAGTTATTGTTGTAATAGCACCGTTTGCTTTATGCGCCGCTGCTAGCCAAGTCGTGGAAAGAGTCTGTGTAATCGTATACGAGCGAGCACCGTAAATGCGAGGTGTGTACAGCGACCGTAGAACGTTAGCGCGCGTAGACCGTATAAAACCCAACGGCCTCGGTTTCGACGTAACTTTCGACCGACTGAAAGGAGCCCTTCCTTCCATCGGTCCTTTTTCTTTTCATGTCCTAAATGCCGACCTTTGTTCTCTTCCCAGATCAAACGTTGCGCAATCATTTTCTACATCGCTCGCATTTAATTAAGATCCTTACTTGAGCAGCTAAATTTGTTATTTCGTCGTGTTTCGCCTTCGCCTCTTTTTCTTTATTGGATCTCAAGCAAAGACGTGCTAGATTCGACGGTTGATATAATCCGTGGACTAATAACCCGAATTCTTAAGTCCGTGACATCTCGTGTCAACAAAATGGCACAAACACTATTTCCTTATCGTTGTGTTAACCTTCGAGCTTCTTCGAAACGTTTCGCCGTTTCACCGACGTTCCACGGCCTCGAGAGTCCTCATTGTTGCCTCGCGTTTTCGACATAAATCATTTGGTACCACCGCCTCTCTCATTGGAGAGAACGATGCGCAACGAGTCATGGCTGAAGCGCAGCGTTGCGCTGCGCGACGAAGAGGAAGAACGTATCAATGGTGCATATAATAGATATACATAATACGCGGTGATGTCAATTCGCGTGGGTTTTGTTTTTATAAAATGATTTGAATTACGCGTCGAGCATTCAACACAATAGTTCCTCTATCGCATTTCTAAGTACCTAATCGCTTTAACAAATTGCAAATGAAATTGCAACGCCAATACTATGGCTATTTGCCCTTTCTATCTTTATTACAACACAACGATTCAATAAGTTGTTTACAACTACTGGAATTTAAATGTGTGACTCGTATGTCAAGTATAACTTTTTGATCAAACTGTTTGAGAAACAGCCTCTCTCGTCTTTCAATCATACTCTTAGACAATTGCTTTGAATGGGCAAATGGTCAGAGAATTCTCCTGTCCTTGTTATTAGTACTGGGAGAATTTCATAAATTCCATGAAGGCGTTCAAGGGACTGTGATCGATCGGCAAACTAGTAGGTCATAAAAGAAAAACGCGTCGCGATGACGAGAGCAACAAGGCACGCTGAAGAGAGTGATCGATACGCGAAGCGTCCGAGTCGCGTCGAACGGACGGAATGGTAGCAATTACGTACAAAGGGCAACCGTAAGGCGCCCTAATTAAGAACCCTCGGTGGGGGATTTATTCAAGACGAGGAAAGAATCATCCCGATGACGTCACGCGCCGGGCTACGCTTTATTCGTTTTTGTTTTTCACATTGCCCGGCGTGGATTACTTAATGCGGAGGGAGAAGCCACTTTCTCTCTCATATAACGTGTCTTTAAAGCAGCATGTCGGTGCGTGACCGAGTCTCTCTCTGGGCTCCGGAGTAAGGTACCATGTTACAGCTCGTTGCAAAACCGGTGTGTCCTTCCAGCGAACGATATTACACATTGCACTACGTGTTGAGTAACGTTTTACGCATTTAAGACGACTCCTTAATCGCCGTCCATTCAGTTACGCAGGATTGTCAAGTTCAAGTAATTTTTTGCCGCTTTCGAGCTGGTCGTCGTGGAACGGTGCTCAAACCGGGGGGAGGTATAAGATGTAATTTTAGGCCGGGTGAATGGCAGCAAATTCGATCGTAAATAAAAGATGAATGGTTTTAATACTAGTTTAGGTCAGATGAGTATCAAGTACTGACGAATTGACGTTAGAACGTAGAAACGTTTGTTCCCGGTGATCGAAGAGATCGATAAAGTCGAGCGTCAACACGCAATGTCACGTGAAAATATTATTTCCCGCAAGATATCAGGCTTGAATTATCTATGATGCTAAGGTTTAGTGACGAAGGAGAACGTCCGGTAATTGGATCGTTTTTTGCTCCTGTGCAAGATTACACGAGAGTGATTGCAACCACCTTCGCGAAAAATGATCTTGATATCATCGACGTCTGTCTCCGTCTGATGCGATCCTTTGAATTAAACTGTAGTGTAGAACTAGCAATATTTACCAATCGACTAGTCCTTGCCCGTGGTGGCATTTAATAACCGAATAAACAGTAGCTTCTATCACGAATGTTAGCATTCGTAGTCGGCCGATCGTTGCATCATCGTCATCGCGATAATACGTTCGATTCTAATCGTCGGAATATCCAGATGAGAACAAAGAAAATAGAAGCTAATAACATGGAATGGTTTTTAAGCGTCACAAAGGCTGCTTCCTCGTAGTGATAAGAATCGTGGAGGGATAATGGTGTGCATTCGCGAAACGGAAATCGAAGTGTCCACGCGCGCGTACACACGACCGGGAAGCTGTAGTTCTGAGCGCAAATAACGCCATTCCTTTTTCCAGTTACGGTTGTTTTTGAACTCGTTCGAGTTTTCTCGATCTAGGTCAAACCCGTTGAGGAAAATTGCGCGAGATTACGCACGGTGACAATTGAATAACACCCGCGATCAACCAGTTATTCAAGATCAAGATATCGTGGCCTTAAAAAGCGTTCAAAGTCAAGCGTCAAAGTTTTGTGCGTTTGCTGACGCGTTGGTTCCAAGGATCTCCTCTCAAGGATGTTCAGGCCATACAATCCCTGCCAAAAGTGATGGAAATATAAAATTTAGCAATTTCTATACTTTTAGAATGCAATCACTTACATTTAATGATGAATACATGAACCATAACAGTAAAGTTAACTACCAGAATGGTTTTCGATGTTCGTAAAGAAGTTTTGACTATAATTTTAGGTTCGTACTCGATTTGAACATAAGAAAGTACAAATCTCATATTTTTAACACAT